TTTATCAAGATAATGAAGGTGAATTACCTTAAACTTAGATGTCCTTGTTTCTTGTTGTTTAATGTTATAACGTTTATACAAATTTCTTATTACAGCACTTAAGAAAGTTGAATAATTTCAACTCCTACCTGGCAATACTGTCAGCCCTGGACTCTGCCCCTATCAGGAGACTAGAGTGGCAGAAACAGACCTCAGAGGTGAGTGGATTGTGAGGTTTCATTGGCTGGAGTTACTGTTTATTTTTATGTTAAAAAATGTCGGGTGTCATGTCCAGTGATGGTGTAGTTCTGTCTCTGAATCATCATTTCTCCTTTCACTGATTATATATTAGTATCATGATTGTGTTCATCACTTCATTCTCTTATCACACCTTCTCCTTATTCTCTCTCAGGGACTAGAGGAATATTGTACACTGATCGACAGCTCCTCCTCCTTCAGAGCATACAGAGCTGCTCTGGCTGAGGTGGAGCCACCATGCATCCCGTACCTGTAAGTGAATGAGTGTTTACATGGACGTTTGAACTTCCACAGGTCTGGTTCTCAATCACAACTTAGCTTGATATTTTAATGTATTTGCCTGTCCTCCTCCTCCTTTCAGGGGTCTCATCCTCCAGGACCTGACATTTGTCCACCTGGGGAACCCTGACCTCATTGACGGGAAGGTCAATTTCTCCAAACGCTGGCAGCAGTTCAACATTCTAGACAGCATGCGGCGCTTCCAGCAAGCGTAAGTCCGCTGGGATCAATGTATGATGAAAAGACATATTAACAGAAAGCTTTATAAACATCAATCACAGTAATGAATGTCAGCATTTGTTTGCCACTGGCAGGAAATATAATGTGCATCTACTTTGTTCCTCATTAAATTTTAATATCATAAAACATTGCCGTCATCTTCATATGGGCTTTTAGTTTTTTCCGAAATGAATGAATGCATTCATCAAACCTCTGCCTCTTCTCATCTCAGGCATTATGAGCTGAAGCGCAACGAAGACATCGTCTCTTTCTTCAATGACTTCAGTGACCACCTAGCTGAAGAAGCCCTATGGGAGCTGTCGCTGAAGATCAAGCCCAGGAACATTGTCAGGCGCAAGACAGATCGTGAGGAGAAGACTTAGGATGAGTGGGCCTCCAAGACTGACCTTCAACTGTGTTTCATGACACTAACTCCACTTTACTACAGACCGAGAAAGACAAATGGAAGCTATGTGTTGGAGCTTAAGGGGAGATTCATTGTGGGGACTACAGAACAAACTACAGCAAACTGAAGTGTTGCCAAGGTTTACAAAAAGCTCTGCTGCTCTGGGAGATTATAATTGGGATTACTGTGGCTCTGGCATTTAGACAGGGATGCAGTGACTATGGTGAAATGGGAGAAAGCCTGGTGCCAAGGAGGAGCGTAGATCCACACAGAGTGGACAGGGAGATGCTACGGAAATAGCCAAAGTCTGCTCCCTGGGCTCTCTGTCTTAGAGTTGGAGCTGTTGCGTGTGCGCGTGTGATTGAGATGAATGATCCGTTACTCTCCAAGTTGCTCCTTCCTTTTCCTGTATGTATGTGCCATTTGTTGGTCATCTTCTGTAACCCTCTCCCTGACTCGAACAGCAGAACCTTGAAAGCGACCTGTCGTGAACTGTGATGTCAGCATGCAGGCTGCGGACCAAGAGGGCACGAGAAGATTTGAACTTTAAGAGGAGAGGATGACCATTACAGACTGGAACCTATGAGTTTGTTTTGAAACATTGTGTAAGAATCATGTATGGTTATGAAATGTATTATATACAGTGCTCCTTTTGTTCTTAAAAAGGATGTTTATGCTTATGAGAAGAGCTTACTTAGCTTCTCCCAAGTGCCATACTTATGTGCACTAAAAAAAGCAAAGCAAAAACAAAAAGATAAATTACTAAAAATGCTGTGATCAATGTACATCATTAAAAAAAAAAATCTGTGTGCCGTGTTAAAGTGTAGAGAGCCATCAGGCAATCACAATCATGTCCCAGTCATGTCGGAGTGGGAAAGAGGGTT